CTCTGGTATATAAATGGCTGTTTGCCACTTACTCCTCCATTTGGCTTTCTGCTGAGAGATGGGCTTCATGTGAGCTAGTCTAATTGCTACAATTAACAAAATTAAATGGCTTATCGTGTATTTAGATGATTCTTCCCATGTTCTGCATTGTTATACTACAGAATTAGTAATTACAGTGTTGGGTTGTAAATTCATGGACATGTGTTGTGATTATTTTCATCACGCATTTCTTGAAGGGGCTTAACCTAAATAAGCTTGTTTAGATGGATGCACAGATGCAATTTACTCCTCTTCCCACCATGCACAGGAGCAAGAGAGGCAGCAGTAGGACTCCAGGAATCTGCTGAAGTCTTTTCCTTGGCATTGTGCAGGCAGTGCAGGGGGCGTAGAGTAAATCATAGCATCTCAGTCACTCCGGATTGCATGACTTCGGGGATGGAATGGAGAAGGGGCAGGGGCTTTGGGAGCTGAAACACTAGCAGAGCCAAATAAAACTCAGTACAGTGCCACTTTTAAGGCTCTTAAGGAGTTATATGATCAAATCACAAACACTTCAAAATTTCTTAATCCGTGTTCTAAAAAACCTAACAGGCTAGTTGTGAACATTTGCTGGCCAATAAAAAGTAAAAGAACATATTGCATGATTGGGAGTCCCTTTCCAAATAAAGCAGCACTTGTACTTTTAGTACCACTTATGAATTGCTCTTTTGAGGAGATAATGATGTATTGGCTAGACTATCATATGCTTTAAACTAATTTGGGTTTAATAGCTACGCACATTAAAAATTACATCTCAAATAAAATTGAAATTTACCTCCCCTGCTTAAAAGTTTAAAAAATCAGGCAGATAAGGCCTAGCATTACATTTTGGAAAGATAATTTTCTCCAATGTTATAAAAATTAATTACTAGAGAATTTTTTGATTTGACAATGAAAATATTGTTTATATGCCATCAAGCCCATATAACCCCCACACAGAAACATTGTTCTAGCACAAGAAGCATATTTGAATTGACATAAAACCATTGGAAATTAGTTTTTTCATTATTAAATATTCGGGGGAAAAAGTATTGCACATATTTGCAATGACCTTTTTAACAAAAATTATCCTATTACAGAAGAAATAACTTTTAAAATAAGACAAAAGTTTCATCATACACTTTCTTATATGTTTTCTGAATGAACATGGGTATGCATTACCTCTTCTTCATCTAATTTGAGTAGTGAATAGTAGTTGAATTGTCTTTTCTATAACAGACAAATTCAAAACTTTCAAAATTTTAGGACCAAGTCTTTAATCAGATAAGTTACCATTAAATCTGCTGGCAAATTTGTTTGGTTCATTAGAACAATGCTTTCACAATTCTTGCTTCTAACAAAGTGATGTGATTGCTTTTCTTTACCAGGTTGGAAATATGAAAATACAATTTTTTAATTTTTCTGTATTCTGGAATGAAATTTCAAAGACCTGATGTTTTCATTACATTATTTCAAAAGCAGGAGTTTATTTCCTTTGCAATTTTTTTATTTTTTTTAAATTTTTTTTTTTTTTTTTGCTATTGCTGTCTTAATTGAACTTTATTGATTTTAAAACTGTCTGTGGTAAAAAGAATAGTGCATATTGGTTATCAACTGTCCATAAGGCCATCATGGAATTTCAGTGTGGACTATATTTAATCTTGGCAATTTCTATAAAAAATTCTTACAGTTTTTTATGCGACTATTCACAGCAATGCAAATTATGAAACTGTTCATGTAGTCATCTGAGTGTTAAGATGTCAATGGCCACCCTGTTCTCAGTGCAAGTATTGCTGACATTAAGAACATAACAGAGCAAGATTTTGGAGAGCAAATTTTGAGTTAGTGTATAGTAACTTCTTCCCCATCCTCAAACAGCTGGATTGAGTTCTGAGGACAAGGTGTACATATATAAAGTGCTGCATTATACATATATATATATAAATATATATACATATGTATGCTGCTCTGCAGTCACACCCTGCAGTATCTTGCCTAAGATAAACATTGTTTAAAAAAATTAAAAATGCTAAGAGAGTAAGGAAAGTAAATGCTAAGCATGCCTCTGTGTGCTTCCTTCCAAAACCAAACAAGAGCAAATCAAACAAACCCATCCCAAGCCTTCCTCAGAAACCTTGCAATGCAAGCACCGGTCCAGACCTTAACCATTTAAATTCTGTACAAAGCAACATTTCTTCAATTCTGTAAGCCAAGACCAAAGGGCTCACAGCTCTGAGGAAGAGCAAGAGGATGAGAGGGACATAAGAAGAGGAAAAGCCTTGCAGACAGATGTGATGCTGACCCTCTCCCCAGGAGGTGCTGGAGGGAGGCTAGAGGCTGAGAAGGCTGCCCACTCCGCCTTGCTCAGGCTTACACTTCTGAGTTGCTGTAGCAGCAGCAAACATGTCAAACTGTTTCCAAAACAAAGCCTCATATCTTGGATCATGAAGCTCACCATTTGCCTTGTTTGTAAAGAAAAACAGAATTTCCTTGTGTGGGCTAGTGTTTGATTCTGGAGTGAAGGCTATACTGAATTTGACAGGACAAAGGACTTGCTCCCAAAATCTTTTGTTTAGCAGTTCTTGCGGTGTTACATTTTCTGACAAAATGTGAGTGCTTTTCTCTGAATAATCAGCTGTAACTCCATGGAGAGAAGGGCAATCACTTTGTACAAAGCTTCAGGTTTGGACTATCAAAAAACTGTTTTATTAAAAAAAATATTATAGAGGCAGGTGGCCGTTGCTTAATTTGAAAATACCTAAGAAACCCTTGAAGTGTGGGTGTTTTCTGATCTGTGTAAAGTTCTCTCTGCCTTGCAGATTCCTGCACTTACACAGATTTTTTGTTTTGAGCAAAGAACAACAGGTATCGAACATTTCACTAATAAAAAAAGTCAACATTAAAAATGGCTAATTGAACGCATACAAATAAACATAGTCTGTGTAACCTTGGCCATTTCATAATACAAATATTCATAATAGGAAAAACGGAAATTTACCCAGCAGCATATACAGCAGTGACTACACTGGATATATCTGACAGTGAGGATGACAATACCAATCATCAGGTCTTCTCCATCCTGACAATGCAGCTTACAACAGTAACTCTCCAGTTCTGCTTCGCTCTCCTAAAATGGATGGAAATAGTTATAGCAAATTGTTTCTTATGGAATCACTTGGTGTCTTTACAAGCCACTTACATTTGAAGCAGGATCCACAGTTTATAGAGTATACTAAAAGTACCCATGTAGGCTTTCATATAGCATTACACTGCAAAAGAAATCCATAATGTGTGAAAAACAGGTTTATATCAACCTGCAAAAGCCATTTGATAAAATTCATGGACCAATTCTTAAAATCTAAGCTATAAAGAGAATGAAATGTATTAAAAGATTTGAGGTTTATAAAAAGGAACCTTTTATACCATATTTTTACTTTACAAAAATATTGAAATAACCCATGAGTTTTTCACTCTGCACCAGCTTTAAAAAAAATACTATCAAATTTTGACTTGCACCTTTAATGCATCTGAAAGCACCATCAGGGGATACTTTTAACATAAAGGAGAATACCATTGACTAAATTTAGGGAGGTATTTAAAACCCAAAAGCTTGCAGCAAAAGCACTCTATTACAAGAGATTCAACTTAATTTTTAGATGTGTCTGGACACAAGTCTTGAACAGGCAGAAGAAGGTCTTCCACATAACTTGCTTATATTATACTTCGGTGAATATACTTACTAAGAGGTGACTGAAAGCCTTTAAAAGACATCACTTTCACCTTGGGTGGGAAAAATCAGAGTTGTCTCTACAAGTTGAGAACTTGATAGGTCTTTCCTGCTTCTTTTTCTGATAGGGCTTGTGCCACTTGTTATCTGTCCCTCAGGCAATATCAACCTTGCAGTTACACAATGTTTGGCACTAGAAGGGTATAGCGTGTCACAGTCTCTTGTCACCCCTGCATACATTCACACACTGAATCATGCATTCTCAGTCCTGAAACAGAGAAGTTTCAGTGTGTTCATCTCCTTGTAGTTTCTTCTGAAATATCTGAATGGGGTCCTCCAAAAAGTTTAGAATAGGAAATCTATTCTTCCCTGTTATTTTACTTTTATTTGTTGTTTGCTTTTTCAAATTGAACACTGAATCATGATTATCATTCAATGTATATCACTACGTGCTAGAGCTCCTTATTTCTCCTGAAAACCAGAAGTGAGCTGCATAGGATTGCTGTTCAAAGTAACATCAAGTAGTGAAATTGCATTTAAAAAGACTTCGAAATTCTACAGAAAACAAACAGTTCTAGTAGTATTAGTTTTAATAACCTAATTAATCAGAATTTAGTTTATTTTCCATTGACAGCCTTACAAACATGATGATGTATCTTTTAAAATATGAACTGTTTTGCAAACCTATTCTAACCTGAATGGTTGATTTATGGGAGTGTTGAAGACTGTTGTGCTCCTATTTTTTTCCCCAGAAAACAGTTTTCATAACAACAACACTGCGTGCTACAGTTTTGTTATTTTTGAAAAGGTGTGGGTTTTGTTTTTTTATTATTCTTTTGTGCCATTGATTATGGAAATATCAATAATTCGTTATTAAAATAAAATGCACTACTGGCTATTGTTGAAAGCTCTAGGTCAGAGCCTTCCTATTGGTTTAATTGTAAGTACTGTGCAGTCTGAGTTTCATAGCAGCAAGGGGTCACAGGTGAGTTTCCCCAGCTGAAGCAACTGATCTTTATGTGTGGGTCAGGGTTTGGGTTTTTTTTAAGCTTTCAGGTGATGCTGCTGTATCAGTGTCCTGCAGACAGACTGCACACAGTGGATCAAATGATAATCATGACGATAGCCAGACTAAGAACACTATAGCTTGCTGCTCTACTTGTAGTATGCAGTTTAGTTAATCCCACAGCCCTACAGTCAACCCTTAATTTGGACTGTAACATTGGAGCTTCTTCAAGCTGTGTGTTTGTTTTGTTTACAATGTGGTTTCATATTCCAAGCGCTCCTGGATAAGGGCATCATCTTTATACTGTAGCCGTGGAGGAGCAGGGGAACATTCAAATGCTAAGATTGCCTTCCTCAGGCTCCTGTCCAACACATGTCTCTCCCATGCTGGGTACCTGTTCCTGAACAGATCAATTTTAATGACAGACTCCTCAATCCTTGGTGGCCGGGATGAAGGTGTGGATGGTGCAGTGGGTCTCACCTGAAACACAGGCACACACCCATCCCTCTCCGCAAATTTTTGATCCCGCTCGCTCGTGACGCTCCGGTTGTTGGAGATGGACCGTAGCGTGCTTGTGGCCACTTCTGGGGGTAGGGTGAAGGCAGTGGCAGGGTCCTCACAAGCACAGCTTGGTGACTGCCCAAATCTTGGTCCATTGGGGTGAAAGAAGGCATAGTACATTAGCATAAAAACAATGCCTGTTAAAAAGCTGCTGAACACTACACACAGTGCTGGTATGGCAAATGCATCAGAGATTGGAGGGGCCTTGTACAGATACCAGAGAACACTCAAGGCGGTGTTTTCTAAAAGGATGACGAAATAGTAAATGAAAAGCCTACAGCGTGTCCTTCCTTCCTTGACATTGAACCAGCTGAAGATATAGATTATCCCAACAACCATATCGAAAACTATCTCCTCCCATTTAGTGATGCAAAACTCTGTCTCGCAGTGAACGATCCAGAAGGTCATGATGCACCAGTGCAGCACGATGAAGATCCCAAAGTACAGCTGGAAAACTGAGGCAAACAGAGCAAAAGTAATGACCCTTGCTGCAATCGTGAAGAAATGCCAGCAAAACTGGATTATAACAGCCATATAACTGATGGGTTTCTTGTCATCACGGGAGTCACGGAGGGCCTTTTGGTAGGAAGCCAAAGCCCAAGCCAGGGATACTAGAGATGCTGCAGCAGTAAGACCTAGGAGGAAACAGGAGATGCGGTTAAGGCATAATGAGTACATCAGCATTTGGCTGAAACCAGTAAGATCCTTGCTGCTTTAAATGCATTCTCCACCAGTGACATAATAAAACTTCTTCGTTCTCCTTTAGCTCAGAGAAATGCCTCTCTACTGCTGAGATTTTATTGCCCTTACAATGCTGGATACAGACCAACAACAGTGGCTATCAAACCACACTCTGAAACACTTCTCTAGTAATTACATGTTTGATACAAGCTAATTAATTTACAACTTTGAGCAAGTCAGGAACAGGTACATCTGTCAGCTGTGTGATTTAGTGGGGCCTACTGTGGTTGGCATTTTCAAGAAAGAATATGAATTTTCTGATGTTGGTAAGTCATTAAAGAAACCTAGTATAAAGCAACTAAGTCTTTCTAATTAAAATGCCAGCATCATATACATATAACCTAAATCAGCAACAAAGTGAGCATAAATCTACATTTAAAAAATAAATTTATGTGACTCTTGGTACATCAGAATTTAAACTGACTGCTTTACTCTTGCTGAGGGAAAAAAATGCCCATTTTGATATTTCTACCACTTTTAAACAGAATTTTAATTAGCAGGAAATGTCAAAACTTATTTTTTTCTAGCTGGAAACTAAATTTATATTAGAAATGTTGGAATTTTCTACTGAATTAAAATTCTGAGTAAAGATGCTCCTAAAGTAGGCGGTAATGACTTAATATAGCCATATAGCCATTCTGCCTCCCATATATCACAGAATTACCTATTTATTAGGCCCTAACTATAATATTTTGGTAAATCCTGACAAATATTTTCAAAATTCAATAAGAAATTATTTCTCATGAGATTTCAAACATTAGTTTTGTGAAAATAATTCCTATTCACTCAAAAATACAAGAAATGTAAACCTTTTTTTTTTTAAATAACCACCTTTCTATGCTCATCTTGAATGTGTATTATTCCTTCCTCCTCAAGGGAGTTTTGTTCTTCTCTGGAGGTAAAAAGAGAAAAAGTTGCTTTAAAACTGAATCTAATTTTTAAACTAATCTGTTATGTCCATACGCTACCATAAAAATACATTACATTTCCATTTCAGATGTGATATAGTTCAGCATAGTTATTCAAATGCTTAATACTTGCATAGCATTCTGTTAGAAATGAATGGTAATTCTTCTTTACTAGAGATTAATTTTTATTTACTTATGACTCATATCAAGCTGCTTTGGATGGAAATGGGAATTGCAATTGAAGTACAAAATCCCATCCTTTCAAGTGTATTTATTATTTAAATAAAAATGCAATAAATGTTGTATACAGAGGAAAAATGTATCAAACATTTTATACTTAAAAATGGTTTATTACCAAAGCAAATTTTACATACAGTTAATGAATGAATTCATAAGTCTCAGCATCCCAGACTGAGAATTTATTCATAGACCATTTAAAGATAATGATGCTTCAGCTTCTTCTATTTCTAAGCAGTTCCTTAACTTTGAACTAGTTATTGAAGTAAATCAAACTGACATGAAGAAAACATTTCTTTTGTCTGCTGTTTAAAGCTGTTTAATCATTTCAACAACCTTTGCTTCTGGATGCATAGCTGGTATTTTTCTTCCCTGTTCAATAGCTTTCTTTAGAACTTATCTATCAAGATGATATTACGTAAGTATTATAAATTTTACACAATGTTTTTAATTCAGAATGGTAAATTTAAGCCTAAATATATGTTGCTACTTACTTTGGACAAAACCAAAACCGGTTATTTTAAAACAGAAAAATGTAGGTTATGGAAATACTACCTGATTCTGATGGAAAAAAAACCTAGTTGAGAAATCTATGTGGCTTAACACACTAAGATTATGCTGAGTAAGTAGTACAGAGAGATTCATTGCTTTCAGGAGGGTTTGTGTTTGCCAGTGTTTGTCCCTCAGTCACTGGCAGGGTGCTAATTATGTTGTGAGCTCCCATGAATTTAAAACCCTTTTGTTTTAAAAATAAAAATAATAACCAGAAATCAGCAGAAATATAGAGCGAACTTAGGATTTCAGGGAGAAATTTTAATAAAACTTCATAACTTTTCTTCCCACACAGATGCCTGGGTGACAAAACACCAAAGTTATTTCTGGAATCCTCGTTCATGGAGAAAATAAGCTATCAGCAGTGAAGACAGGAAGGAGACATGGCATAAATTGCTATTTTCATTTCTGACATGTATATTTGCTTTTCACACTGGGCTGCCTTTCTGTGTCCATTATCTCTAAAGACAACCTTAGCAGTTGAAAATAACTGTTCTTATTTTCCTGTAGGAATGTTTTAAGTATTGAAAAAAACACAGTTCATTTCCCTCATGAAATGAAAAGTTTGGAATGCTAGATGAATAGGATAAAGGATAAAAGATTCTTACAGTACAAATGAGCCACTCTGAAAAAGAACTCAAAAATAGCAGTATCAGCACAGGAAAAATAATGCAAGCTAGAAATCCACATATTTTCTTTGCAAATCTAACTTTAATGACCTCACACACTCCCCCAGAGGTTTGTAGAGATATCATCAGCTTTGCATTACGGAGTGTAAAATCATTCAATAATGCACACAGAATATAATGTTAAATTCATAGGAATTTCCAGTGTTCTAATGCTAATTAATTCATAGTCATTGTCTGGGACAGAAAGAAGCAAGTACAATAGCAATGTAATTCTGTTATTTAAATAGTCATTAATAGGGAAACATCCTTTGCTTTTACAGAACAAACTCAGGGACACTGGCATACAGGAGAGAAAAGGAGACAAGGGAATGTACAAAAGGGAAGAACTGTCAGTTAATGTATTGTGTATCTCCTCTTGTGCGATCGGCAGTGGTATTAGGGATATAGTGATAAGGCTAAATGCTTCATGGACTCCATCCATTTTTTGTTTATTGATGAGAAAAAGAACTAAAGAATTATTAAACATAAATTAATAAAGAGAACAATAATGTAAAAGTGATGCAAATGGCAGTTTGCTAATAAATGTTACTATATAAATAATTCACCGGGAACAGTTAGAGATAAAGTGAATTACTGCAGCACTGAATGGGTAATTCATTAATGAGACCATATTCATGCATTTGCTGGGTATGTGTTCATATAAACCTCTTTATACCTATTTCAATTTTCAATTTCAAATTTCTATTACTATCAAAACAAAACTTTAACATGGCACCAGGAAAAGAGGATGCCCTGTAGGCCTAATGGGAAACAAGTAATTTGTAACAATGCAGGTGTTTTAACTTCGGCAGTCTGGAAGGCTTATTTGCCATTCAGAAATGAACAGAGATTGGATGTGATCTGTGGAGACACTGTTCATGAAGAACAAGAATCAGCTTTCCTGCTTGCTCAGCTCAGCTGCTGCACACTCTTTGGGCACTGCAGCAGCTTTCTGGTATATATGACAGTCTTGTATATGGCAATCTTATATTTAGAGTCTAGATACTGGAAATTGAGATTACATTGCCATTCCCAGTGAATATATACTCGAACAACCAGGTGTTCATCTGTTACAGACTGTTAAAAGAACAGGAAAGCAAGAATTCTCCTAAATGGTCTTAGGAAACATGAAAGCATGTTCCCGTCACTTCCTTTTCTAAACCTGAACCTTCAAACATTTTTCACAGTATATGATTTGGTCTCTAAAGTTCTGTCCTGAAAACAAAAGCAATACAGGCTTTGCACAGGAAAAACATCACTTCACATACTGCATCAGGCAAATGAAGCTTTTGTCTGTTTCTAAAATGGACACCTGAAATACTCTGAGTAGCAAAGGGTGGGAGTGTGTGTACCCACTTTCAGACTCTGCAGCTTAGCCCATTGACAATAGTCACAACAGTGAGAGAATAATGCATTGTATCAGGACAACTTTCTGCCGGGAACTTCTCTGTTTGGAGTGAAAAAGACAATTTATCCTCTTTTATTCTGTTAACAGTTTGCCTTACTTCATTATATAATTTGTATAAAGGAATGACAACTTGTTAATTACAGATGAGTTTCAGATGTCCTTAAGATGGTACACTTTCTGTCTAATAAACAAAGAGCAGAATTGTCTTGATTGCATTACAATTTAAATTTCTTTCCCTGGAAATGGTTAATTTCTCCATATATAAGAGATGATCCTGCATTTTATAGAGCATGGCTTATCTGTATGGATACTTTAAATATAATACATAATACACTGCAATGAGCTACAGCTCATTAAAGGTAGGCTAAAAAAACCATGTACATGGCTTTCACAAGTGAAAACAAACATACGTGAGGGAAAAGAGAATGTATACAGCGATGAACACATTCACAAATGTAATTTTACTTCAGGGAAGCAAGTAAGCTCAGATAACTACAGGTGAGCTAATGAAATTCTCATCAACAGTATTTATGAGCAATCTGACTGAAATGTTGTGTTCATGAGTAATCCCAATAGAATTGCCCACAATACATAAGGATTTTCCATATTACACCTCTGCTTGGAAGTTCGCAACTTAATTGTATCCTGCTGACACCTCTGCCTTTGCATTATATCCCACAATATAATCTTTAGACTGGGGTGTAGATGAAAAAAAATATGGATCTCATTCTCACACTAATTTTATTTTACTCCTGATTTGTACTTGAGAGAGTAAAAGCATATTCCGGTCCATAAATTAATCACATCAGTCCATAAATCCTATATAGAATAAATAAAGAACAGTTCAAGTCAGCTGGAAACCCTACAAATGAATGAACTGATCAGAGAAAGTGCTCCTTGACATTCAACCAGATTTCAGAAATCAAACTCCTGCCAAGGTGTCTGTCTCTGCTTCATCCTCCCTTTTAAACTTGTACTTGTCTTACCATTT